ACAGCCCTGTCTTCACAGGAGATCTTGGGAGTGAAATATTACCCAAGGGAAGTTTGTTTCTGGCGTATTCATAGGGGGTGTGGGATCAGCCTTGCTCTGAAATTTCAAAAAACCCCCAACATTACCAGCACAAAAAGAGAACTTGAATTCAGCAGATCTTCCTGCTTTGACAGGGAAGGCACTTGGGCAATAAGAATATTTATCTAAATTAGTGACAACAATTAGGAGACTATGGATAAAGCAATAATGCTGTTACTCCAAGAATGGTATTAAATATTATTAAACTAGGAGCCATGTGTTCCTTCAGAAGTTACTGACCAGATGAGATCCAGCAGTGCTATCTTTTGCCTACTCCTTTTCTTATTATTCTCACTGAAGGTGTCTATCCTTATTTTTTATAGCATCTGTAGCTTTCATTTATAAAAGAGGAAGGGGGTGAGTGCTACCTGCAGCAGAGGAGATGTTCCACGTGTCTGCTTTGGGTGGTGCTGCAGCTGAAGTATCTTCTTGTGGTGCAATTGCTTCTCATCCCACTGAGAAATGACAGCCATCCCAGCAGCTGAAGGTCTTCCCATAACAAGGAAGCAACAGAGCAAGAACATGAAGTGCTCTTGTGTTTCCACGTTATAATAGTTTTAGGTTGTTAGTCTTGCTGGGAAGTAATAAAATTCCTTAGGAAAAAGAGATAATTTTTCTGAGTGCTATTAAGCACATCAAAGTATAAACCCTTGATGTGATGCCTTGACATGAGTGGGACTAGGAAAATGAAGAGAAAGGGAAAAGAAAATGTGTTTAGTGAGACTGCAGAGCCTGTCTGTGGGAGCTGGAGCTGAGTGGCAGGCTTTGGCTGGGCATCATCCCATCTCACCTAAGAGTAGGTGGATTCTTTTCTAACCTGTCTCACACATCCATTTTTTCAGGCTCTGACCTGCCCAGGATGATTGTTGCTCAGATCTTCAACTGGCAAAGGCACCTCTGTTCCTCTTTCCTGCCCGCAGCCAGTAATAAATGCTCAGTGAGGGTGTAAGAACAGGTATTAACAGATTTATTAAAAGATTTCTCTTTTTTCTAGTGTCTGGGAATTTAAGATAGCATCCATTGATAGATTTAATCTCATTCATGGTCTAAAGTCTTTCAAATATGTTTAGACTTTTGGCCCCAATGAGTTCCACGTTTTAATTATATAGTGTGAGGAGAGGAAACCAAGTGCTGTAGCTCCACTGACATCAAAGGTTAAAGTAACAAGGCTAGGATAAAATTTAGCCTTAAGTGCATGAGCAAAAGTGTGTTTTATCTTGATTTTAAAGAATTATGAACAACAGAAAGCACATTAAATATTAAGGTTGGTGACCTGAGAAGGCACTAAGATGTCCAGAAGAGGTGTGTGCATGTAAAATCTGTTCTGTTTTGTCTTATTCATGGGAGAACTTCAGTTTTATGGCTGAGCATATGAAAGTAATTTCTTTTTATTGTAATTTTGATTACAGTTTTCTTTTACACTCCTTTAAGAGAAAGGGGAGAAATTTTATGAAGCATATATTTAAAAGAAAACAGAATCTCAAATATTTGCAGTGAGCAAAAATATGTGAATGAGAAAAAAAATCTCGCATGTTTAATTTTTGGTGGAATGAATCTTTTTACCCTATTTAGCTTATATTTATGAGGAGGATTGCTTTGGGGCAAGGAGCTTGAAAAGGTTGTTGTTGACTTCTGCTGTGTAGTTAGAGCTGGGACACGTTTGTGCACAACAGACAAACACCGTATAGACATGGTCATAAATAATTCACCATTCATTTCAACGAGAGGAAATGACCTGCTACATTATTCAACAATACACAAAGACACTGCTTGTTGTGTAAAGAGAGTCATATTCTGCCAGGGAACTGAGAGCAGTTTTGCAACTATAATAATAATAATAAAAAAACACCCCATAAATGGTTTATTACCAACTCAAATCTCCATAACCTTTATTCTGTCTGCAGTTCACAGCCTTCTGCTTTCTATAATGAAGTACAGAAAAGGTGAAGTGTGTCTGTGGTTATGACTACTGGAAATGTTGAATGGAAGAAACCAAAATATATTGTAGGAAAGATCCTGCCCTTCTGCTGGGCAGCCTTCATTGTGTGGTAAAATGGACAGGGAATGAACTTTTCTTAAAACCTTCTTGGGAATGAGAAGGGAGTGGCAGTAGGGAATTATATCCTGATTTTTAGGTGTTTATTACAGTTGAGTATTTTTACTACATGAAGAGGACAGTGGAAAATCATGTGAAGTGGTAAGTCTGCAACTGGCAGTTATTAAAATCAAATCAAATCAACTGATCTGTTCCATTGGCTGAGTAATATATCCTGTTGCCCCGTGGTGGGTCATCAAGCTGATCATCTAATTAAGCAGCCTGTTGTAGTGTGTGTGGATAAGTTGGCAGAGTTATGGTCACTGGTGGGCTTTAAATGTTCCTCTTTTCCCTTATGATTGGTGTGATTAAGATCTCTGTTTTACTGCAGCCCAAGCATATTGAGCATATTCTGTTGGCTGTTCTCTTTGCTTGGTTGTTTGGTTTTATTCCCCTTGTATCAGCTTCCTGATAAAGCATTCTCTTCAGCTGTCAAAGATGCAGTTAACATGATTCTTCATTGAGTTTGTAATATTTGTCCTGGAGTTACATGAAAGGTGTCTGCATCTGACAAGTATCATTTTAATAACAAAGAAATGGGCATAAAATAGGACTAAGCAGCTTATTTGGGTTTTCTAAGATCCTGCACCCTGTATCCATTAATGAGTCTCTGATGGCTCTTTTGAAAAATTAAGAATTCATGTCAAATACACAAGCCTTGAGTTGATCCTGGAAGACTATCTCAGATAACTCTGCTCAGTCAGTATCACTAAGCAAGTTTAAGGCTCCATTAGAAGAGGATTGGGAAAGAAAATGGATGTATTTTTCCTTTAAATAGGCAGTTCATAGTAAATGGCCTCGTCTGACTTGTAGAATAAACTCATTAAGGAAATGAACCTTCTTTTTTTTTCTTTTTTTTTCCATAGGAAGGTATTTTGCAAATGCTTTTGTTCAGCAATTATCTAAATAATTATTCTTGAGCCCTGAGATGCAGCCTGCTTGCTGTGATTGCAGAAATTATCCAATATGTGACAGTATTAGGTGGGAGAGACATCAACAATAGAAATAATTTTACCAAAGGGCTTTGTCTCACAGAAAAATGCAGCTCAAAGAAAGAGGAGTAATGCAAGATCTGAAGTGACTGCCCCATTTGACCTGCACACTTTTGTAGGAATCAGCCAGGAGTTATATCAACATTTCTGAATAATTCAAGAGTTGAAAGAATTAAAGGTAAAATAGCCAAATTTTAGGAGTTATAATTAGTAATGGTTACACTTCTGTGATTTTGTTTGTTGTAGGGGTAATCAGAGGACCCTTGTGTCCTCTGTGATGATTGGATCATCATGAGAAATTATTTTCATTATTGATGTGTCCTGGACATTGCACAAACGTGCTCTTCAGCAACATATTGTGTTGCTCCTCAGGAGCCAGGAGGCAAAATCAGGTGGGAAGATTTCTGCTGGTGACAGAATCATGCCAAAGGAGGAGTGAAGTCAGAGTTTTCTGGGTGGAAGGAAGGAAGGAAGGAAGGAAGGAAGGAAGGAAGGAAGGAAGGAGATGGATGGATGGATGGATGGATGGATGTATGGATGGATGGATGGATGTTTGGAAACGGTGCAGATTAAAAGCACTTCTGAACCTTGAAAGGAAAGATGAGGTTTTGCAGAGAAGCAGCAGCTAGTGCTTGTCCAGAGGAGGGAGCCACTAGCAAAGTACTGAGCTAAAAATTTGCACATAGTTACTGGGGTGTGTTTTAACTAGGAGAATTGCACCTACATGGGAATTAAAATGGTGCTGATTTGATTGTGTTGCTTTGATGATACACTAATTTTTTCTAAGTGTGAATTATGAAACATCTCTCCTATTCCATATTTTGATTATAGTGACGTGTGGAAACATATTTTCATTTAAGTGGTAAAAGTGAATGATGGACCTTTAGATATTCCATAAAGCAATGAGCTGCTTCTCTGGTCTGGTGAAGTTGGTAGTAACACAGATTAATTTAGTCTGAAAAATGATTCAATTATTAGCATTTCATCATCCATAGCCTTTTGGGCAACAGTTATTGTTCTGTTCAGGTAAAGCTGCCATGCTTCTGAATTCTTCCATCCCCTCCTGCAGTTTCTGAACAACCTCTCCCAAGGACCGTTAGAAGGATCTGCTGAATCCAAGCTCTTGCCTTGAAGCTGCAGTACTAATTACCCATTTCATTTAAGTAATAAGTCTTGCCATCTTTACCAAGCACTGTGTTTTCAAAACGTGTTTGGCTCAGTGGAGCTGAAAGCTTCTTGGTGGCTTTGCAGCAAGTCATGGGTGGCTGCTCTCACCATAGAACTGTTTGGTCCAGGAACCAGAGAACCTGTCACGAGCCTTTGTGTCACTTGTGGCTTTTGGCTTTATTTCTATATTTTATCTCATGTGCTTGAAAGGAGACTGTTGTCTTATCTCTTCCTGTTCCTCTTGACTAGGTGCCTACCCTGCAACAGGACAGGTAATTTAAGGTCATATATAGAACATAACCTGTGTTACTGAACACTCTCCAAAAATGCTTCTGTCTTTAAAGGGCAGGTTAAGGTCTGTTAGATGGGTTGGTGAGCAGCTGAGGGAAGTGGTGTAGTGTTAGCTGTGATAACAACTGCTCCTTGATGTAAACAGAAGGGTGATTGTAAAGAAAGGGCAATTCCCTGTGAGCTTGAAGCCAGACGTTGTTTGGGTTTAATATTGTGATTGCTGTGATTAATGGGCATGGCAAACAGAAGACATCTTTCAAATCCAGTTGTGAAATTACTTGTGGTGGGTTGTACTTTGCCATCAAGGCTTTGTATGAAAGGGAATTTTGTGTCTGCTGTTCTGTCTCTCTCTATATATACACGGTTCTGCTTCTTTAGGTTGTACAATGTGAATCTTTGAAGCCACCTCTGGGAAGATGAAGCTTCCACCAGCAGCGATTTGGTTTGGAACGCACCTGTTTTGAGAATACCTGGGAATTTCCACCCGTATTTGCCTTCTCCAGCACAACTCAGAGGACAATGAGCTATTTTTATTTTTTGCATATTTTCACGCCATGCAACAATTTTTCTTCCTTCTCATTTTGCCCAATGGGAAAAACTGGAGCCAGCTCTGCAGCTGATTCTTACGTTGCCACTTTCCTCTTACTGAGCCAAGTTCTTCAAACCAAATCCACAGTGCATCCATTTTTGTGTGTTGGTTGTGGGATTTTTTTTTTCTTGATATGACAACTGTCACTTTTTGAGTGCTTTGAATTATTCTGGTTTGAACCTGTCCTTTTGCATTGCTGAGTAGTTGTAAAATCACTCAAGGAATTGAATCATTTCAGCCTTACAGAAGATGACTCATACGTTTCAGCAACATTTTTATGGCTGTGCTTGGCTCACTAATACAGGAGTTCACCAGTAGTAATATGAGTTATTGCATTAATTGCTGCATACATTTATTACCAAATGACTTGCACAGACACTGTTTCAGATGCTGTGGACCCAGGCATAATAACCAGAAGTGTCCTGTTTGCAAAGGAGAAAATAAGGTCCCTTTGTACACCGACAGCAAGCAGATGAAGTTGCTTGCAGTTCTGGAAGTGAGGACTGATCACAGTGAAAGCTGGAATGGATTTTTCTGCTTGAGGAAGGGGAAGCTATGCAGCTTAATATTTGGGTTGATTATAATGACTCTTGTGATGGCATCCTACATACTGACTGGAGCCAAGCATGGCCTCTTGTTGATACCGTCTCCCTTTCATTATGGAGCTTTTATTAGCAATCCAAGCTTAATGGACAATGAAAGCCTTAGTGACATGAAAGACCATTACCAGCCTTCTAAAATAAATATTTCATATGTAAAGGATTATCCAAGCATTAAATTAATTATTGACACTATTACTTCAAAGATAGAGTTCATAACAAGACAGCGCCCTGATTTAGAAGAGCTGAGGAAACAAGAGCCACATGTAAGTATGAATTGAAGTGTGTCTGAAACTGCTGGACACTTGTTTACTCCAAGACTTTTGGGTCAATCTTCTACCCAGATAAAAAAAAATACCAGTGCTCAGATGTTCATATGGTGATTTACACCATCTACAGCCTGTTAATTTACATCTGCAGCCTCTTGATTTACAGCAGCTGAAAAGCTGATCTTGTAGATCCCACAATTCTGAGTCCTGGGCAAAACAGATGAGTTATATAAATGGTGTTGACACCTGAAACAAGAAGTCAGGCAATCTTCAAATAGCTGTACAACCTCATTGAATTCTCACCTCTTCTCAGGCAAAATCATTCTGACTTCTATTTGCCAGTCATCTTAAGTGATAAATAAGAAAGGAGCCTTTCTAAAACCGGATTACCAGTGTGCCTCCCTGCAAATCCAGTCAGTGCAAGCCTTGTATTTCAGGGTTAAAAACTGGAGGTTAATTTCATTTGAGTATTAAAGTGTTTGACTTGAACAATTGCAGGGGAGTTGGGGGATTATTGAGGTCCTTTCTGGCCTTAAAATCAAAGGAATTCTAAAAGTACTCCTCTCCCACTCCAGTTGTTTGTACAGAAGTTGTTTCCAGGATCATCAGAAGAAATCAGTTAGGTTGGTGATCTTTAAAGTCCCTTCCAAACAAAACCATTCTATAATTCTAGGCTTTTTAGTTAAAAAAAAACAAACAGGAGTTAAAAATGTCTCCACGTAGTGTTTCTGTTGTGTTCTCTTACTGTGTGAAGTTAGAAAGTATAACTGTCCATTTTTTTTTTCTGCCTTGACTGAAACTGTTGTTCTTTATGTTGCAGATGTTTTCAGTAATTCCTAATAAATTCCTTCCAAATAGCAAGAATCCTTGTTGGTATGAAGAGTACAGGGGGAACACAACCACAGACCCTTATGCCACAAACTCCTATGCACTGTATTCGAGGCGCTTTCGGATCATCTTTGATTACCTCAGGAAGGTGTTTTGGAACCACTTGTACCACTACAAGGACAAACACTATCGCCTGCGCTGCCTGCCCCACTTCTACATCATTGGGCAGCCCAAGTGTGGGACAACAGACCTGTATGACAGGCTCAGGCTGCATCCAGATGTTCGCTTCTCAGCCATCAAAGAGCCACACTGGTGGACAAGGAAGCGCTTTGGTGAGCAAACCTCTGGTAACCAGGAGTGTTGTCTGCTATTGAGAGTGGAAGATTAAGTTTTGCTCCTGGTGGCTCAGTCCTTTCTCTCTGCCCAAGCAGCACATTAGTTAATGGTTATTTTTAAAAACAGAAAAAAAAAATAAATTAAAAGAAGAAAGTTAATATGACAAATAGACTAACAAATGAAACTGTTACTTTCTCTACATAGTAGGGGTGACTCCTACGCTCCTGGCTAGTAACTTGGTTTAGCTTGTAGCATTTATCTGGAGAAGAAAGTCTCTTTCTTTTATGACATTCTCTGATTCAGTGGGTTTTTATGAGACTGACTAATTTCAGCTGAAGCTGAACAGCCCTCCTGGGGAGAAGCTCATTTCGCAAGTCACCACTTTCCTGTTCTGCTGGGATGGTTGATGCTCTACAGGACTTTGTCCCAGCTTGACTGTCTCCCTTTCCAGGCTCTGGGCCACAATTTCTCTTCCCATGAGTGGGGTGGCAACAAACCAAGGCAGACTGTAGCACCATGCACGTACCTTTATTTTTTTTTCCCCTCAAAACAGAAGACAAAAAAACCCACCAAAACCCCCACTGCTGAGCTTTCTCTGGTCCTCATTAAACCCCACTTTCCTAAAGGGGAAAACCAGAAAGGATGGACAAAACACCTCCCTTGCTGAGCTTCCTCTCACATAATTGATAATTATTGGCCTTGCAGGAACAGGAAAAGGAGAGCTGGGAAGTTCTTCTCTATACTCAGTTTTGCTCCTATTCTGTTGCCTTCCCACTGCTGTCCTTGACCTTTGCCTGCTCAAGAAACTCTCTTGTCATGTGGTGAGATGCAAGAATGCAAAGATGAGCATGGGCAGTATTGTCAGAAAGTGGAGAAGTGAGACTAGAGTTGGAAAGAAGAGTGGGAAAAGGAGTGTAAAAATCACAGATGTGGCTCAAGATGCTGAGAAATGCAGGGAGAAGGTGATAATGAACTCACCCTGGAGCGTAGGGAAGGAGGGGAGGAAAATAAATGATGTTATCATGCTGCTTTGTTGTCATACTTGTGAAAGATAAAAGCATCAATGATTTCCCACTTCTCTGACTTTGATAAGTGCACATTGATTTACATATTTGGCATCAGAGCCTGTTCTCAGCCTTAATACAGTAAATCTAGTGGGAGTCCAATAAGACTTCAATTCATATTGATGCAAATGAATGCAGAATCTGGTCTTTTACATTAATTCCAAAAGCTAAATTTAGAAGAAAATAAATACAAGCTGTTCATGCAGGTACTATTAAACAGAACACTTTAGGTATTTCCTATCTCTGTGAATTTACAGCTTAATCAAACAGCATCTCAAATCTCAGCTACTTCATTATTGGCACTTTTAGCTGCGTTACATATCGTTGCTCTAATTTTGGGCTGGTTTTCACTGGCTCAGCACCAGCCAGGTGAAGCTATCAGAGTTTATACCAGTGGTTAATCTTGCCCTGATTATTATTATTACTTCGTTATTAGTGCTACTACTACTATTGTATCTTCTCTCTTGTCACTGTGTTTAGGAATCATTCGCCTGCGGGATGGTTTCCACAATCGCTACCCGGTGGAAGATTACCTGGACCTGTTTGACTTAGCAGCTCACCAGATTCAGGGGGTGCTGCAGAGTGAAGCAGCCAAAGAGCACGGCGAGATGAACAACATCATCATTGGTAGGGCAAATGCAGCCACTGAAATATGTCTCTGCAGCTCCAGGTTGGCAGCTGAGGTGTGAGGGAGACGTCTTCCCAGGTGTGGACGGTTCATGGCACAGAGTCCCTGATGTTGGGTTTCTCTGGTGTGTGTGGATAGTGCAGAAGTTCTTGCCTTTTCCTGGAGGGTGGCTACTCTCTATGTTAAAAAGTTGTGATTATCTTTAGAAAACACCTAAGGAAGCAATTCATGCCTGATAAACATCAGCATTTTTGGTTAAATCTTTCTTAAAAAGTGAGTGGTGAGACCCTGGCCCAGGTTGCCCAGGGAAGCTGTGCTTCGTTATTAGTGCTACTACTACTATTGTATCTTCTCTCTTGTCACTGTGTTTAGGAATCATTCGCCTGCGGGATGGTTTCCACAATCGCTACCCGGTGGAAGATTACCTGGACCTGTTTGACTTAGCAGCTCACCAGATTCAGGGGGTGCTGCAGAGTGAAGCAGCCAAAGAGCACGGCGAGATGAACAACATCATCATTGGTAGGGCAAATGCAGCCACTGAAATATGTCTCTGCAGCTCCAGGTTGGCAGCTGAGGTGTGAGGGAGACGTCTTCCCAGGTGTGGACGGTTCATGGCACAGAGTCCCTGATGTTGGGTTTCTCTGGTGTGTGTGGATAGTGCAGAAGTTCTTGCCTTTTCCTGGAGGGTGGCTACTCTCTATGTTAAAAAGTTGTGATTATCTTTAGAAAACACCTAAGGAAGCAATTCATGCCTGATAAACATCAGCATTTTTGGTTAAATCTTTCTTAAAAAGTGAGTGGTGAGACCCTGGCCCAGGTTGCCCAGAGAAGCTGTGGCTGCTCCATCCCTGGCAGTGTTGAAGGGCAGGTTGGATGGGGCTTGGAGCAGCCTGGGCTGGTGGGAGGTGTCCCTGCTCATTCAGTGGGGCTGGAACTAGACGATCTCTAAGGTCCTTTCAACCCCAAATCAGCCTGTGATTCTATCAAAAAAAAAAGAATGAGGATGACCTTGGTGACTCCTTCAAGCTTTGCTTTAATTTTGTTTTCCTGACAAGGGGTTTGTCTGTGGTGATGGGATTGTAGCTTCAGTTTCAAACTCTGTGTCTGGGCTAACTCACTAACTGTGGCATTGCAAGATAGACAGTTTCCCTTATGGCAACACAGCTCTTCTTAAGCTTCAGTATAAGATACATGTCAGAAGGATGACCACCATTCTTTGTGTCATCCCTGTGTAGCCTCTAGTGGGATGAAATGAATGTGATTAAACTCCTGAGCTGCTTTTTTAGCAGTGAAGATAATTCAGGTGTCAAGACCAGGAACAGAGAGCTGAGTTGAAACTTCTCTTGCACAGTATTTCTTTCCAGATGTGGAACCCTGAGGCCCTGTACAGGATACTATATGAAGATAATCTTACCATTTCAGTTGATATTAAATTACCTAAATAACATTAAAAGAGGTTTAGAAAGAAAGCAATAAAAAGGTTTAGACACTAGATAGGACTGGGCTCTAGGGAGAGGTCCCTGGATTGCTTTCCATGACCCACCATGCTTGTCCAGTGTGATCCACGATGCGATGAATTTATAGTGCTCATGAGGAATGTCAGCAGAAATTCCTACATTCTGCTTTTGATGTCTGCTAAAACCAGAAAACTGAGGAGAACAGAATATTCTGTCACCTCTAAATTTCCCAGGGAAACCAGGCACAGTCCTTGGAAAATACTAGTTGTGCAAGAGACAGTTCCCCATGACAATGAGACTCTTTAAGTAGGCCTGAAGTTGTTCTTCTACAGAAAATAGAGACAAGATTTTTGCTGCCCTCAGAGGGAATACCCCCAGAATAATGTAGGTTTTTTGTCTCATTCTAAAAAATCTAACCTATAGTTGGCTGGATGAAATGGTGACTGTGTCTTATGCTACTTAAGCCAGAGGCTTGGCCTCTATTCCTGTTGGTTCAGTCCTTCCTCAGCCTCCATCAAAGTCCATCATTCACTTGATTATATATTCAACACGGAGCAACATTTGCAAGATGAGGTCTGAAGAAATGTTGCCATCAAGGACATCTGCAGATTTTCCTCCTCCTTACAATAACATCTCCTGTCCTTTCATGGATGAAGTGCTTATACTAATTAAATTCACTAATCTAATTGACAATGTGCATCTTTGATTACTTACCTCCTGTTACCGCTTTTTCTAGAACTCACTTTGTGTTTCTTTTTCCTGTAGTCTCATTCCTTGTTTCATTAAGGTTCTGTTTGCTTTTCTTATTAAGTTTACAGGAAAAGTCCTGAATGATTATACTCATTAAGCCAGTCATTTATGACTTTGGTAAAAAAACCAACAAACAAAGCTAGCTGGGCTGAAGTGAATCTCTATGAATATCAGGTTCGCTTGGAATCCTCCATTTGGTTATTTGAGATGACTAGAAATAAACATCAAATTAAAACTATAAACATTTCAGTAGTTTATCACATTACATTATTTTGGAAGTTAAGCTTCTGTGGATGTTATGCTTAGTGGATAATAACTGCATTTTCCCAAGAAGCCCAACATCTGCTTAGAGATGAACCAAAAAGACAACACTAGTCCAGCCTGAGGCATCCTGAGCAGGTCTTGTTTATTTGTGATTATTACCAGGATAAATTCAGAGGAATGTCTTGTGAAAACACAGTATGATTTTAATCCATTAATGACTGGATAAAGAGATGATACATCTCTTCTTTAGCCAATTTAGTAATTCGTATGTTCCTTAAGTCCATAAGAAAATGAATGGATTTTTGGTTGCACTGCTGTGATTTGACATAATTACTATAGCAGTGATTAATTTATCTGATGTTTAGTATGGCTCATTCTCTTTACAGATAATAAAATTGTATTATAAACCAGAAAGGAACTCTGTCATATTGTCAGGAGTATTTTTGGCTGCTCCAGGAAATTGAAATGATAAAAGTCAGGAGAGAATGATGGGGTTTTTTGTTTGGGTTTTTTTTCTCCCCTTAATCCTCGACAAGCATCTTGTTTTGGGAAGATTTGCCTCCTTGCACCCAAGTTCTCCCTGACTGCATTAGAGCAGCACCTTGAGCCCCCACTGATGCTTTAGGATGATCCAGCCATGCTGTGGTTGTCCCTCCCTTAGACCTTCTGGGGTGGCAGCTGATCCAGCTGAAACAACATCTGTGGAGTGTTCTGCTCTGTGATGCCCAATCTGCCCATTTATGTGTAAATGCACTGATTTGGTTTAGCTCAGGTAATACAAGTGTCAGCAGATGGAAAAGCAGGGCTCTTGTGGACACATTAGCCAATGGACCTGATCTCCTCCTGAAAAGAGGCAAAATGAACAAAACATGAGATTAATGTGTTTTCTATCAACTCCCACTCTTTATTAATGAATCACATTATGTTAAGCTCAAGTTCAGAGCCAGCATCTTTTCTATGTTGTATTTTGGCCATATTTAAAAACCATTATTCCACTTTCCCAGGAGAGAAAAAACTGAGGGAAACCATGTGCAAGTCAATAAATCTTTCATGTTATTATTTTTTCACCTCATTCTTTTTGATTCAAAAAACCTCATTACCAAGAACCAGCTCTCACTAGGCTGTCACAGAGTGGAAGTTTCCAAAAAGCTTCTGTATGTGATTTATTCAAGAATAGTGTGCCACATAAATGGCACTATTGCCACTTAAGCAGACAGGGGAGATTACACCATTCAAAGCATCATATCAGATCATTTATTTAGCAGCTGAAGTGTCATATATCCTTTTCTGGTAGAGATGTTAACTGATTGTGTTTCTCCCTGCAGCATTACTTTCAGAGTAAGCTTCTTCAGAAACTAAGGGTATCAGAATCTGGCCTTTAACCCAGTGTGTTATTTATTCCATGGACTTTTTCTTTTGTCTAATATTTAGTATACACTTATATTTTGCTTAGTCTGTATGAATACTTGTAGTGATGTAAAAAAAGCTTTGATAACTAATTCTCAGAAAAGGATATTTCAAACCATGGTGATACAATTCTGCTGTTTAGTACATTTAAAAAAATATTTTCATAGAATCAGAGAATCACTGAGGTTGGAAAAGACCTTTGAGATCATCGAGTCCAACCATTAACCCTACTCTCCCAAGTCCAGCCCTGAGCCAAGTCCTCAAGAGCCACATCTAGATGACTTTTAAACACATCCAGGGATGGTGACTCAACCAGCTCCCTGGGCAGCCTGTTCCAGTGTCTGACAAGCCTTTCAGTTATAAAGTTCTTCCTAATGTCTAGTCTAGACCTCCCCTGGTGCCGTTTGAGGCCATTTCCTCTTGTTCTAACATCAATTACTTGTGAGAAGAGACCAGCACCAGACCTCCTTTTCTTCAGACTAAACAGCTTCAGTTCCCTCAGCTGCTCCTCATAAGACTTGTTCTCAAGGCCCTTCACCAGCTTTGTTGCCCTTCTTTGGACATGTTCCAGCACCTTGATGCCCTTCCTGTGCCCAAAACTGCACACAGTATTTGAGGTGTGGCCTCACCATGTGCTCACTGACTCTCTTATGTTCTAAACACTTTTGACCCACTGGAGCAGTCGTAATAAAATAATAATAAAATAAGACCACTTATTTTGTTTAGTTTCTGTCAAGTTGTACAATTTGTTAGCAAATTACTTCTCTGAGATGAGGAGAAGTAAAACCAGCCCATGGGGCTCTACAGGGAGCAAGGCAGGTCTTCAACAACAACAAACTCCTGCTGGAGGGCTGGCCAAACCTCTGAGCAGCCTGCTCCAGCCCAGATCAAATATGTGTTAACCACTAATGAGAAGCAGTGTGGTTAGTGGACAGTAATATTTCAGGTGGAAAGACATAAAAACCTGCCTTAACCATCACTGTGTTCACAAGGGTACAGCTCAGAGTGATTGCTCTGGCTCTGGGGACCATGAACCAGATCAATTTGTAAGATGTTGAAATTAATAGCCCATTTTAAACAGCCTACACCAGTTCAAAACTGAGCCATTTCCCCTCCAATACAAAGAATGACATGAGTTACTAGCAGAGATGCTTTTAATTCTCAGGGGAAGCCAGTGCCTCGACAATGTGGGACAACAACGCTTGGATCTTCTTTTATGACAACAGTACTGAAGGAGAACCTCCCTTCTTAATCCAGGATTTTCTCCATGCCTTCCAACCAAATGCCAAACTCATCATTATGCTGAGAGACCCCGTTGAAAGGTGAGCAAGGATCATGTTGCTACAGTATGCAAGAAAAAAATGTCTTTGCTGTAGTAATTTTATTCACTCTCTCTTGGTTGCAAATGGATGTTCTTGTGGGGTTGGACAGTTACTGGGTTTGTGATGAGGGCTGCCAAGGGTTGTTGTTCTGTCTATTGTGGCCTATGGGATTGTGATAGTGTGATCATTTGTATGTTGCCAAAAGCAAGATGACTCCAGTACCTGAGCTAAGATGCTCTGGTTCTCAGCAGGACTCTCTGCACTGGGGGTGGCACCACGTTCACGTGTCTCTGCATAAGTGGTCTTGGGAATTGCTTCCATTTGGGTCAAATAATAAGGTTTGTGTCTCTAAGGGACATGCTGTTCCAAATGATCAAAAGACTGCAAACAGCCCCAGAGTCAGCAAATAATACAAACTTATGTAAGTCTGAAAGATGTTTGGTGCAACACTCATATCAAGTTTCACTGGACAATTTTAGGTTGCACAGCTCCCAGTTGCTTAGGAGTTAATCCTTTCTCTTCCTGGCCTTGTGTGCAGTGAGAGGGCTCTGCTTTGCAGAGATGTGGGCTGTTCTTGGGTGGTTTCCATTGTGTTACCCATGAAGACCCTTCAGTCCACTCACATTTCACTTTTTCTCTTCAGTCTTCTCCCAGATTTCTAGGGCATTCCTTTCCACTGAAGGAGGATGATCATGATGAGGGTGATGGGGATGGAGGCAGAGCCAAAAAGGATCAGACCAAGGGGGTGTGAACTCCTTCTCTCTGTAGTTCTGTAGGAATATTCAGGACACTCAAAGCTAGGTCAGTGCTCATGGGCAAAGCCAAGAAACACCCAGAACAATGGAGAGGATGGTGCAAATGTTGATGGGGACCAGGTTTTGGTGAGGGCCTGTGCAAGCAGCCTGTGCCCCTTTGCCCAGCAGCTGCCCAGAGTGACCTGGCAGAGGGAAGGGATGGGGAATCCTTGAGGACCATCCCCCAGGGCAGGACTTGGCCTCCTGTGTCAGGAAATGCAGCTCTCAACTTTGAACAGCATCTCCTGACCTCAGGATTTAACAGATGATAATTTTCTGTGAGAGAGCTGGCTGGAGTGGCTTCCTCATGTAAATTACTGACAAGTTCCCTGATTGCTTTAACCACCCTCTGTAATGTGGGTGTAGCTCTTGGCTGGCTTTAAGAAGGGTGAGAAAAGAGGTCAGCTTCATCTCCCTTTCTGTATTTATGATAAATTTGTTTATTTCTGTTTGCAATGACCCATGCCACTGTTGCTGGTAGCTCATCTGAACTGGAGGAGCAAAAGCAGCAGTGGTGGCCCAGGCAGCTCCACTGGCAGAAGGACAGTTGCTTTGCAGTAGACAAGAGGACATAGGTCAGGGTCTGGTGTGACCTGGACAGGGTCTGGGACAGGGTCTGGTCTGGCCTGCACAGGTTCTGGTCCATCCCCCAACAGGGAGATATTTGGAGGACCTCAGGGTTTGTGATGGTGGGTGTCAATAGTGTCATTATTTCATGGTAATGGATAGTGGTTGAGGATAATGATTTCAAGTAGCTGGAACAGCTGAAATCCTAATCAGCAAAGGTTTTATATCCAGGCAGATGTCCCCAGAATTAAAAACAGATGGAGAGAAACATAGAAAATCTTGACTGCCCTGAGGAGAGAGAACTTGTCTCCAAGAACATGGTTTTCCATAAGATGTCAGAAAGTCTTTGAACTGATGCCTTTCTTTTAATGGGTGATTAGAAATACTAAGCAGTTGTAATAAACCTTTTAAATAAAATTACTGCTGGGCTGTAATCACATGCTGTATGTGATGCCTGCTGGCTGATTTCCCCCAGCAAGAAGCTTCTCCTGAGCTCATCCTCATGCCCTGCACTTCTGGGGTGGCTCTTTGATGGGAGCAGCAGGAGGGACCCAAGGTCTGTCACTGGAGAGGAATGGGACACATGGGGTGCTGTGGTTGTGGTCCTCCAGCACTTGGTGGGCATCACTTTGAAATCAGCTGCCCAACCAGTCTGGCCCAAGCCCAGTGCCTCCCTCTGCTCTGAGATGGAACTGGTGGGTTTGTTTTTGAAGAAAAATGTCCCAGTTGCATTTACCAGACTAGGAAGAACTGGACAAAAACCAGACTGTTTGTCTTATTTGGTGTCTCCTTAAGTTAGTACTGGGTGCCTCTGCTTCATCTTCTGTAGTTTGCTGTGTTTTGTCTTCTAAAAAATATATTTAAAATTGAACTAAAAGCATCCTGCAACAGACGTGTCCTTTTTCTTCCTTTTTACATGAACAGAGAGTCTTCTTTGTTTCATATGGGAATTAAAATCCTGTTGTTGCAAGACACTAACACAAATAATGAGTGCAGAGGGGCTATTCCTGGGCTTAAGTGCTTTGCTGGATTAGGGCCTAAACTTTCTAAATTAAATGATGATTTTTTAAGTACCTGTGGAATCTAAGGAAGTTAAAAGAGAAATAAAATAAGTGCAACACAAAATGTTACTGCAGCAATAAAATACCACCTAAATAAGTCAATTGTGAGGGGTCTTAGACACTTGTGTTTGGTTTTGCTTTTTTTTGAAAGAGGCTGAGAGATGTTTAGGAGTTCTGGATTTTTTTTTGAGAGGTGGGTCCTAAGGGGGTGTAATATTTGTGCTACAAATACACTCAGGGAAGTGACTCCTTAAGCGTTACGAAAATGTCTCCAAAATTCTTCAGTATTGTTTTAGTTCTGGTCATAATTTCTAGGTCTAAATATGAGAGAGATAAAAAAATAATATCATGTTCAGGAGATCTAATATTTATGCCATGTCAGAGCATTACCTTTGTCTCTTTGAACCATGTTTTTCTTGGAGAAGTTTAATCAAAGGTTCAAGGATTAATGCTTAAGTAGTTATTTTACTTGCCTGTAGGGGTTGGGTTGTTTCACCACCACCAACTCCAAAGGGAATTGATTTTAGAGAATCTTTTAAAATTAATACTAAGCAATTGTAAAACTTATTCTAAAAATGTGTGATGAGGGGATATTCCTCTGCTCTCATTTAGAGAAATCCCTGTTTCTGGGCTAAACAACATGGTGATTTTTGCCACTTCTCACATTTCTAGATGAACCCTTTCTTCAATCAAAGATGATGAAGTGAAATGAAATTATGAAAGGCAGAAAACATAGAGCTCAAAGTGTGACCTAGGAAACACACATGGGCTCATCTCTTGGTGTCCTCAAAGTAGAGTGAGGTTGGACTGCTTGGGGAAAGCAGCACTACAGACTGTAGAACAAATGTCAACCATCCCCGTGGCTGTAGTATTTCAGCTTAAAAAAACCCAAGAGGTGGAAAGCTGTAAATTGAAAGATTTTGGTGGAAAGTTACTGTAGGATTGGAGGTGGATTTTCCTACAAAAAAAACCCCAAGAAAATCTGGACTCTTTCAT